AGCAAGGATTAGAACTCGTTTACTTGTGTATTTGATTTCTCTCTTTGATCTTGCTTACTTCAAAACATGTCCATTGTATTCCCTTTATAGCCATTGGAAATAAATCCATTGAGGCTTGCTTATTCTTTAAGCAGAGCTAACATCATTGTACTTTTTTTCCTCGTATTGTCAGCTTTTTTTTCAAATGAGATACCTCCTAAGTAATTCTTCTCTTTAAGCCTTCTAAATGGAGTCTTTAATACAAGTCTTTTGAGAAGATATGTTTTAATTGAAGCCTTTTGATAAATAACTCAAAGTGTTGGTCTTTTGAGCTAAGTCTTCAAGACATTTCTTATGAGAAGAGATGTTTAGCTTGAATCTTTTTGAACAAAGACAAAAGATGTTCATCTTCTTGCTTGGGACAGACAAGACTTTAGTGTTAATTGGAAAGCCAATTAGATGATTCATATGTAAAGATCTCTTGTGAATTTTCTTGACTACTTAAGCTCAAACAACTTTTTGGTGAGATATAAATGATTATGAAATACTTGAGCAAAATTATTAGCACATACATGAGAACACTTCTATACTAAAATTTGAAACTAAGAGTTTGCCATTATTAAAACTTATATTTAGATAGGATTCAACATCAATGATTTAAAATGTCTAAACATTTTATGACAGATAAACACTTATTATAAAAAGTACATTTTCTATTACAGGAGTGTCAACACCCATTATAATATGACTACTAGATGTAGAGTTTTAATAGACCATCAATTTGTCACCTACTTTCTACGGTGGGTACTATAAACTTACTAAATATAATTTTCTTAGAAAAACAAAAGTAGCATAAGTTGTTTGATAGTTAGATATTTGTAATTTTAGAGTTGAATTCATTTTTAACTTTTGAAATTATTTTTTACATATAGTTATGTCAAGTTAAATATAGTGACATACTTTGTAGGTAAAAAACACGGGAATTATTTTGTATTATAGTGATGCACTACAATAAAATTTATTATTAGCGATAATTATTTAACGGTAATAAATTAATTGTCTTTATTTTATTATTTAATAAAAATATTAATGAATAATATATAATGACCACTAAAAATATATTTGTATCACACCAAAATTTACTATTAGCAATAATTATTTATTGTGAAAAACTTAAGTCCTACACCGACTAGAAATAAGATAATTAAAGAGTATATAAATGGATGCTAACTCACCTTACAAGTTTGTTTTATAGGGTTGAGTTAGACTTATAATTTACTATTCTAAGTTGGTATCAGATTACTCACCATTACCAAACTCAATAGACCTTAAACTTGAGGGGATGTATTGAGAAAAATCTAAATCTCACATCGGCTATTGTTAAAATAATTAATTAGGTAATAAGATAATTACAAAAATAAGGAAATTAAAGAATATATAAGTAGAAGACAACCATCATCTTACAAGTCCCACATCGACTAGAAAGTAAAAAATGCCTCAAAAAATTATATTATACTTTTTTTGACCATTATAAGAAATTTTACCAGTATTCAAAATAATTGCCGCTAAATATTTTAGCGACACTGTATACAATGACTATTGTAGAAATGTCGGTAAAGATTTTGTAACAATTTTTATTATTACTAAAAGTCATATTAAATACCACTAAAAATCTATTTTATTTATTAATGAGTGATGAACTTGATGGCCTATCAAGTAAAATTATCGATCAACACAAATATAATAGAAGAAACTTAGTTTGAAAAGTTGTCATTAAAGTCTAAATTAGAGAGAAAATAACAACAAAAAATCAATGAGATGACAAATAAAAAAATAAAACACAGTGATGAATTGGTGTGTTTAAAAGAGAGAAAAATAGAAGAAATAAGTTCAAAGAACTCTCGCAATAAAAAGGAATAGATAGACATCTAACTTTTTTTTAAAACTCATTTGTCCAAATTTCTTTTAAAAAACTAGTCCTTGTTTTTTTTCTTTTCTTTTGAAGAATATAAATTGTTTACTTAAAAAAAAAAAAAAAAATTTTTAAAATATATGTTCGGTCCAATTTCTCTATCAGTAGGAGAAAAGTAAAATTAAATATGGCCAAGCACCACCACATCACCGTGTAACATGGCATATCTTATAATTGTACAACGAATTTTTCTTGAGTTTGAGTGATACTTTTCTACATGTAACACATGAGGCATTATTCCATTTTATTCATCATGCTTGTCCTTTTTGTATCATAAATCTCAGATGCTAAAAATGTGATATTGAACCAAAATTTTCCACATTCGGGGACATATCCAGGCTCATTATTGTAATGGTAAAAGTATACCAAGCCTTATTAGAAAATTGTTTTATAAGTTAAATTGTGTTTTAGAACCTGTTAGAATATAATTCAAAAAGACTTTTTTAAATTTTTTTATATTGAAAGTGAATAGTATTTAATGATAAAGAAGTTCATAAAAACATTTTTAAACTTGTGTTTAAACATCCACTTAAACAAATAAAACTATTACTAAGAAGGTTTAAATATTTAAATATCAAATTTGCAGAAAATGATAATAAATTCAGAAACAAAGTAGTAAGGCTGTAAGGGTCATAGGTGGGGCCTATTAGAATTCATAACTGCCCTAGATGGACCTCTTCTCTTGGTTTCTTCCCTTTAAAAGGAGTTTTTATTGGGTGTGACCTTTCGAATGGTGAGGTCATTATGTCTGGCAATGATCTCGAGCCAAGTTAGGATATCTTCTGATTGATCATGTTAATGTTTTTACATTATAATTTATTTATTTTTTTATTTATGCTGTACTCTTCATTTTTAAGATAACACCTACATTTTCAATGATCGAAGTTTAGTATTTGATTAAAACTTAAACAAAAATAGCATTATATATTATTAATTTAATACTTTAAATAAAAAAAAGAATTAAATGTTACAAAAATGGTTGTGGGTCCCGTAGGCCATGAGTTAAGTTTGAGACACGTATGGAAGTAAAGTGGTAAGGTGCAGGTGGGAAGTAGAAAGCTTGGTGTCGTTTTATTCAATGGTTGATTGGTTGTGGCCTGAGAAAGAAACCTAATCTCCGGTGTAACCAATGACCATTTTTTCTATTTTTTATTATGCGGAAAGAGTAGATATCCACATGCATTTCCTTTCTCTATAATATACCCCTCCTACTTGTTATTCCTTAATTATTATTATTATTATTATTACTATTATTATTTTACTCTAAAATTCAAGACAATCCTTTACCTAAACCACACGTTGAATTTGTTTTTGGCATTGGATTGGATATGCAATTATTTAAAAAGGGGTAAGTGATAATTACGAGGCCTTTTGGAAATTTAAGTTTTATGTGGTGAATTAATTTATAAAAATAAGTTATAATTTATTAAAATAAATTATCGTATTAAACAAACTTATTTCAATTAAACTAACTTATAAATTAATAATAAAAAAACCTTTAAACTCATCAAATATCTTTTCAAACCCGCTCTTAACATATAGCAATTGGTTGTGTTATATTATTATACTAATCAATTTTGAATTGTAATTTAATTAAATGACTTAAATTGTCCTTGTTGATAAATTTATTAAACTATTATAAATCTATTCAAATAAGTTAAAAACTATCTTAAATCGACAGCTTTTATCGATGTTTTTGTTTGTTAATTTCTTACTTTTATTTGATTAGAATAATACATTATTTATTAGATATATTTTTTTATATACTCTCAATATAAATATTTTATATCACTAATCAATTAGATAAGGAGTGAGTTAATGCATGTTTAGTGATGGGATCCTCCCTTTCATGGATGATTTCAGCTCCTTGAAGAGGGACTCCTTGCTCAAAGATCTAGGCTCACCAAAGGATGATAAATGGAACGTTTCGAGGACGTCGTTGATTCGCTTGCGATCCTCCGATTTGGAGGAAACGGACACTCCTCCTCGCTCTTTGTACATGATAGTTACCGAATCATGGTGGGAAATGGAGAATTAGGGTTTTTGATTCAGGGAAGAAGAAGAAGAAGAGGCACCACCGATACCTACATCACATGCCAGGTGCCAACTTAAGCAATACCAAAACCATTTTCTTTTTCTCTTCCCTCATACTCCTACTCCTACTCCTCACAAATAATTCATCTATTTTTTTTCTGCGGTACAGGTTTGCTTGCAGTTTGCTTCGACAAGGCATGAAGCAGATCTGTATAACTACTCCAGTTTCGGACTCTGTAGCCACTGATGTCAAACAGTAGTGTGAGTGTATAAACTACTTTTTTTTT